CTGTATGGAAGAAGACTGAAACCAGAGACTGAGTTCATAAACCACCTGAGAAGTCGGCTCATTTCTCCATAAGACTGAATGGTATCAGTTTATATTGCAACCAAAATAAACCAATCTTAAAAAACTTGTTTTAAATAATAAGAGAACATGGCTGCCTCTGGGTGAATCACTGTTATGAAAACCAGATTGTCTATGTATGAAAAGTTACTGACAGCCGATGATTTCTCTCCTTCCTCAGCCTTGAGAGCAGACAGCAGCTTCAACAGCCCACAGCATGAGTCAGTCTTCCTCGGTGCGGAGTGGCTGCTTCAGATCTGACACCAGTGATCGCTCTGCCAGCCCGCAGATCCAGAGTGCTGATAGCTGCACCGGGGACCTAACAGCAGCTTTTACATTAGCTCTGCAGCGTACAGTCGGTGGGTTGTGATCCTCCTCAGGTACGACAGCCTGTAACAGCAGGATTTCTTCTCATACGAAGCACCTTTGATTGATTTTATGCTCTGCTTCCTTTCATTCTGCTCTTATACATTTTCAGTATAAAGGCACCTGCTAACAACACAACAGCCTGTGCTGTCCAGTGTCTCTGCTGATACGAAGCAGCCAAAACACCTCTTTTGCTAAGAATGTGAATACTTGCTGACAGCTACAAAACATCAAACAAAAAGAGAGTCTGAAAGAACTTCAGATCCAAAAGTGATGGTGTCCAAACTGCAGTGGGAATCCTCCGACAACAATGCACCAGCAACCAAGAGTCATGTGCAGTACACTGTCCTCAGGCGAGTACGATTACTGAGCTAGGATCCTCTAACAACATCTAGTGGATGGGCACAGAATATTGTACAGATATTCATGATATTCCCCAGAAGATTCACCCTACTGACTTCGGTGATCCTGCGTTGTCTCCTTTAGCGCCACCGTGAGGCTGACTTTTGTGGTTTTTGGTAAAATGAGACATCTATGTGGCCCGTCTGGATGAGCTGTAACAACATCTGTGATCCCCTGACTTCTCCTTTACTGCCATCATCAGGTTTCAAACAGTCTGGTTTAAGACCAAATAGCTGCAAAACTAATAGGCATAACAGACCTTTTTCACAGCAGCCATTTTGACATTGTTCACAGTTGTTACCAATGATACTAACTTAGGTTCTGTTCCTTTCAGGTCAGACAGAGTCCAGGTGCCGCCATCGTGCATGTTGGCTCACTGGAAAGACTCTGCTACACTAAATGGAATGGTATGGATATATGGAGCCCTTAATTAGTATCACTGGTGGAATCGATTCTGACTGCAGTTTTACCCCTAGCTATTTCTGATGTCCAAAATTGGCTGCTGTGAAAAGGTCCTATTAGCAAAATGTTAGCAATGTTTAACACTCCTAAACCGAGAAAAAGATGTTTAGAACACTGAATATAAAAACATGTTAGCAATTGTCTTGTGAGAATGTTATGGCAGC